TGTGTGTGTGTGTGTGTGTGTCACAGGTCCCCCACAGAGCATGGAGTGACCAAGTCCCACTCTTGCCCCGAGGCACAACTCACACAAAGACACATCTACACCGAGCCAGGTAAAGGGCCACAGGCTCACACGCACCACTGGTCTAAGAGAGAGGGCGGGGTGGGGTGCTGTATCCGGGACTGTCCACACACACACACACTTACACGCGCGCATGCCCGGGGGAAGGACCTTCTGGACTGTGAGGAAGAGGGGGGTGGGGTGAAAGCGTAGGTGAGAGGAGAGAGACAGAAAGAAGGGGGAGGGGGGCGTATTGCCCAAGGCTTATTGAGTAAGAAAGGGAGAAAAGTAATTTCTCAAACATACTGGGTGGGGTCCGCATTTTGGGACTGGGGTTGAGAAGCCAGACGGTGCGAAAAAGCAAGTCCGCCAATAACAAAAATACCGTTCCTTCACCCCTCCTCCTCCCCATCTCTCCCACTCATGGTTATGGTTCAGTACCAGTCCTGGGGGGGGGGAAGAGCGGGGGGGAGGGGGTGTGACTTCAGAGACGCTATCTGCCCTAGTTAAAAGAAATATCTCAACTCTCAGGTAAGGCGAAGGGGAACGGACATCGAGGCAAGGATCGGGCTGAGTGCTTTTTGAGTAACATTGCCGATTCCCGACTCCCCCCTCTCTTCCTTCCTATTTCCTTCTGTCCCCCCTCTTACGTCGTTCTTTCTTCCCTCACCCACTCGATCGTCTCTCTTGTTTTTCTTCCCTCATACCTGTTACTTCCCCCTCTCCCTCCCACCAAGAGTTCTATTTATAAGGAGTTCTCACCCCCCGGGCAAACTACACAAACACCCACCGTCAGGTGAACGGTCACTTACTCATGTACACACCGGAGACGGTGAGTCCTGGAGTGGACAGTGGTCACAAGTCAGCTGTGTGTCTCCCGCCTGGGCTGCACTGGCAAAAACAACACAGAGGTACAGCCCAGAGGACAGAAGGTCTTTGACAAACCTCGGAGGAAGGGGGGGGGGGGTGGACAAAGGGAGAACGTAGAGAAGGAAGAAAGGGGGAAGGGAAACTCGAAGGTGAGGTGTAAGGAAAAAGACGTGGGAGGAAAGGAGAGACTGAAGCAGAGAGAC